ATTAGAAATCAAATTAAACGTTTGCTTAATTTGAAGAAGAACTTGGAAAGTCACCAAACTTGGTACTTTTATTATTCAAGTTAATTATAATTTTCATTTTCGAAATTTATTTGAATAAAACATTGTTCGGGAAGAATGTTTAATGTTTGCAGTCCTCTATTGATACTAAAGTATGTTTAGTATTACAGCCCCCACTCTGTTAAAGATTGCGCAGGTCATGTGGTATGCGATTTATCACTATATCTTATCGTTCTATTTATCTATATGTATGCAATAAACTTGAGTTGATATTTGAATAAGCAAATGTTTTAGACGAAAACGTCAAAACGTTTGAGCCGCTTTGGATGTCATTGTTCATAGCCGTGTTTTTTATTGCTCGATAAGTCATTTGTCTTGCCAAGCACGACATAGAAAAGCGGCTGAAATAACAGAGAAACAGCGATTAGATATCGCAAATCGACTGACAGCGTACAGCTATATAGCCACACATACTTGTATATATTCGTAGATATGAGTTAATTATTAGACGTAACTCATTGACTAGCATTGCTTAGTTTGTTGTTAGTTTTAATGATACTTTAAATAATGAATACTATGAGTTGTGCTCAATTAAAAGTATTCCACTACTTAAGAATATTTTCTGATATTAGCGCTTAATTTTGCCGATTTCTGAATTTTAAGATAAAGCACTGTTTTGCTATAAATTATAGTTAAGTTCTTCTTATATCGAAATAAATCTTTTTAGAATTCTTAGCAATACTTACACTATTAACTTTTTGCTCAATATTTTACCATCAAATTATTGCTTTAATTTTAGGTTCTTCCTAGATCGAAATAAACTTTTTAAGAATTCAAAGCTATTCTTATACTACATGTTAATAGTTCTACAAAATGATTCACTGCCTCTACAAACTGAAATATTTTTGCTCAATTTTTACCTTCATAATATTACTTTAATTTATAGCTCACTTATCTAATCGTTAACCCTTTTCGGGGGGATTTATTCGTAAAGATTAAGCTTCCAACACGTGAGCAGTGTTATGTAATTACAAAGTTCAAGTTCTTTCAGTATTTCGATTTATGGAGCCAAACTTAATAAAAATGGCAGGCCATAAAAATCATTATATGACTTCATCGATAACGTTCATTGTAGTCGGAATTTATGGTTTAACTTTCATTCACACAAACATTTGATAAAATGCCCCCAACATTTTAGGCATTATCGTAAACATAAGTATTTCGCCCCCACAAATATTTTCTGAATATATATATAACGAGATGCCTTTCCTATTAGTCATATAAAAAAATTGCCAGCTTATCAATGGCCCTGCGGCATGACTTTTCTAAATTGGAATCTTTGTGGCAATTTCTCAATAACTATTTATCTTTTTATTAAGAGGTTTGTCTAGTCGAAGGTTAATTATTCGCGTTTCAAATCACTTTTTATAGGTCGAGCAATTCAAGTTATAGTTTCTAGCATGCAAAAAATATAAATTTTGTTGTCTTTAGAATATAAATAGTTGTTTCAAGGTAGTACATCCTAAATAGAATACTAGCTCCTTCATATTATATGTCTGTCACGCGCTATTGTTGGGGATCCCCTGTGCTGTGGATTATTATTATTAATTATTTTTTTATACCCTGTACCCGTAGGGTAAAAAGGGTATATTAGGTTTGTGCAAAGTATGTAACATATAGAAGGAAGCATCTCCGACCCCATAAAGTATATATATTCTTTATCAGCATAACGAGAGAAATCGATCTAGACATGTCCGTCCGTCTGTCCGTCCGTCTGTCCGTCCGTCTGCCCGTCTGTCCGTCCGTCTGCCCGTCTGTCCGTCTGGATGAACGCGAGGATCTCAGAAACTATAAAAGCTAGAATAACCAAAGTTGGCATCCAGATTCTCCTAGGTCCGAGTAAGGACGAGTTTATTTTATTTTTTTTAATTTCCCCCCCCTTCCCCCGCTACAGAATTTCGTCAATAGCGTCCACATTTCAAATGCTACCTAAACCAAACTTTGCACACATAATTTATATATAATTGTCTACTGTTGTTCAACATTTTATTCAATTCGGTCAATTCTAAATAAAGTTATTAGCAAAACAAATTCTCGCCAGTACAACCCCCCAAACTGCAGCAACAAGTTCGCTCTTCTTCTTCCTCTTTTTGGGCGCATATAACTCAGTGACGAAAGTTTACCTGGGTACAGGGTATTACACTGTCGGGCTTGCTCGACTGTAGCGTTCTCTCTTGTTTTTTATATTCTTTTTCGTTTATGACAATTTTAAGCAGGTATTTAAATCGTATTGTAAACACATATGTATATGCATTAATTTTTTTCCGATTTTCAGATACAGCTCTGCATTTCGTAGTCATATACAAGTTGCTTACATGCTGCTTTTAAACGAAATTCAAGTCAAAATTCTCGTCTATATCATCATATTTATTCTTTAGGTAGATAGTTTTCATTTCCTATTTAGTCAAAAATCAAACCGCAAACGGCACTAGAAGAGAATCACATTTGAAATACTCTAACAACCAACTGAGTTTTAGTTCATTCTATTACCTGGAGAAATGCTTAAACTTTCTTACTCCATCTGCTTTACCCACAATTTGAAGAATCTTTTCATAATATTACATATTTCAAAAAAATAAAATTTTTTATTATTTTCGACTAAATTCTAAAAACTAAATTTATTTCAATGTTTAATCCAATTAAGCTTCAAGCATAGTAAATTAATTGTGGCTTTCTGTTTGCGTTTAAGATCCGGGCTCTGCGGCTTCTAAGCAATTCAGTTAAAAACTGGTTTGCCATATATAATATGCATCATCTTGATAAAAACTCAAGTACATTCATACTTATATGGTTTATCTACTCATAGCCTTAAGTTACATGAGATTATGGACTTCAATACCCTTATGTGCCAATTAAACAACTTATCTGATATTTATAATACGTTGACAAGTAGTCCATTGTTATCGGAAAATACTTATTGACGCTATTGATAACATGCTGCTAGGTATTAAGTATTTGAATTGATGTTTTCTTTGATTAAATTCAAGTGTGATTGATTCGAAGAAACGAAACTGAAAGCCTAGAGTGAAGAGGTTGAATAATACTGTTTAATCTATTCAAACTTCTTAGTGTGGAGTTATTATTTATAGTTAATTTTAAAAGATAAGTTTTCCATTAATTTTGTTTTAAAAAAATGTAAGGCAAAAAAATGCCAACATTTAAGCTTCAAATAAACATGTTCCGATGAAATTTTGTAAAAGCTTATGAGTTCCTCCATAAAAGTGTATATTTTAATCACTACGGTCCAATTTAAAAAAAAACATTTTTGAATTTTGATAGTTGGATTTAAAAAATTCGGAGCTTTGCAATTTACATTTCTTTTTTAACGTCGACAAAAGAATTTATTTGTGAGATATCACACATAAAACATTTTTGAGCAGTGTAATACTTAAGGTTTAATATTGGAGCACAACTGAATAATTTGTATATATCATTTCATTTCACTTTTGCATTCTTGTTTCTTTTAATTGTATACAATAATGTGTTCAAGTTTTAAGTAATGCCCGTAGTCTCGAGGACTCTCTTTTTATTAGTTTAAAATATTTTGTGGCATTTTTCATACTTTTTTCTGTTTTTGCGTTTGTATCACTTTAAAAATGGCGCACTACGATTTAATGGCAGTTATAAAAGTTAATACGGTCTAAAATAAAAACAAAAGTTAAGCGCTCTGGCAAATACGTCAACCGCGCGCGTCGCTCTTCAAAGTCGTTCTGATCGTGCGGTATTGGCGTTGGCGCGGTTAAAGCTTTGCAAACAGCTAACAAGCACTGTGCACCGCCGCACCACCGCACCGCCGCCTGGTGTCAGAGACCCAACAAAGTGTTAAACGAACTTTTTTCTTAGCCAAGTCACATACGAGCAAGTATACTTAACGTAGCAAACGCATTTTGCAGCATTATTAATATGTTTCCGGTTCGATCCAATTCGGTACCGCAAACTCGTCGGGCGAAGAGAGATTTTGGCAAGTCTATTGCCTATTGCAACAGTGTTGAAGAAATTAACCGATAAGATATTCTGAAAAATGTATGCATGTAGGAGTAAAATGTATCGGTATTGTAACGGGTTACGTATATAATCCAGGCTAGATGGTGGGCATAGGTGAGAGCGCACGCGAAATTTTTCCGGCTCTGGCTCGTCGGCAAGTGGGGTGGTGATCTTGCTTCTCGCCTATGGTTTGCCTATACATATATATTTCTTTAAAAAAAAGATGCGTGCAGACAAGCGGAAAAGTTGCGGTAATACACACACAGGATAGTAAGAGGGAAAACAAACATAAAACGAAAATTGCGACCCTCAGGTGTTAATGAGGTGAACTGCGACCCTCAGGTGTTATTGAGGTGAACTGCCCTCCCTACCATGGTCATTCCTTACCAAAAAAATAAGGACTAACTATTAGAATGACCCCTAAAATTTCCGGGAGACCTACAGGGGCGGCATGACTAGCATTGATCAAAAGAAGTTAAGTTAAAACATTATAAAATATAATTTATTCACAAAAAAAAACGAACGTGGAAAAATAAGAAGTGCATGACAACCAATTATAAATAACAATTAAATAGGTATAATATAAATGAAATTAAATGTGTATGTATATGAATGCTTAAAATATATAGATAAAAGGTAATAAAAAAAATGAATATGAAAAATAAATAGAATTCAAAAATGATTTATAAAGGTATAACCAAAATGAAAAATATACATTCTTATGAATTATCAAATTAAAAAAAAACTTTCGGCATGGAAACAAAATGGCAGTAGAAAAATGATGCAAGAAAAATGAATTGAATCAGTTAAGCTTAGTAATGAAACTATATGTTCTGAGTTTTGCCTCTTTAGTTGAGTTTTTTTTTTTTTTTTTTTGTTACGTGATTCGCAAAAAAAAATAATAACAAAAAAAATAATTTGCAAAAAAAATAACTTACTTGGCGTTATCCATCGCTGAAAGTACTTTCCCGATGAGACCGCTGCTGAAAAGGAAAATCTTAGATGATGGGAATACAATCCAACCATCTGTGTGGACACAAAACAGAATTTCGTTTCTTTTTCTTTTGCTGTACTCAAAAAAAACTCACTCGAAAGAAAACACTCAACAAAACATACAAAAAAAACGGTACTCCTCTTCCTCTTCAATATTCGAAGATACGGCCTCTCTTCGGATTTCGAGAACCAAGATAAACTAATAATTAAAATTCGGCCATGTGTTTCCCTATGCCTTCACAAAGTAAAATTAATGACATCGAACAATGTAATATAAATGGTCTGAACCAAGATTAACAGTAAAAAAAAACTGTATAACTAAATAGAACTTTAAATATAAATATAATGAAAATTTAACCTATGGAGAAGTTGATTCTGGCTGGCCATTATATCGTTTTTTTCCAACAACCAAAAATTTAGCCACTACTGCCTTTTCCCTTTGCTCAGAGCCACACGTCTTAGCTGCACTCAACCTTTTTATTTAAACCAAACACAACAATGAAGCCGACGCGGGTAAAATTTAGCAGCGCGGATACGACGGCGCTGGTAGCTGCTTCGCGTACGATAGAAGACTGAGTTGCACTCAGGTGGGTCGGACGATCGCCTGCGGTTGTTCTGCTGCGTCGAACTTAGGGTCCAAAACTTGAGTGATTTCGTCTTTTAGAATTTTAATGCTGCTGGCGGCTGCTGTTTATTGCATATGCCAATGCAATGGACTGCTCTTCGGTTTCAGAAACCCTCCAATACGATCAAGGGCTGGCATCCGGCGAAAATAGCTCAATATTATCACTGGCCTTTGTGTGGGCCTTTGTTTTATTTTTTATTTTTTTTATATAAAACCAATCTGGATACGCTTTTTTAGCGACTTTAAAATTTTTCTTCGACTCGGATATAAAAAAACTTTGAACTGCAATTTGCACACGTCTGCTCTCGGCCAAGTATCACCAGAAAAAGAAAGCATCTGACGCCTTGGACCAGGCGGGAACCTTTTTACAGAGGCGGTAGGTCAGCGAGGTGAAAGTAGCCATTTTCGGCGAAAGTGACACTTGCACCTGTTAAGCCAGGAGTTACCCTATTGACCTGCTTGCGCCTTTCCCTCATACGACCAAGAGGTGGCGCTAAGAAAAATTACGATATTCGCCTATTAAACTGATTTAACAAAACAGTTGCTGCTGCAAGCGTTACAAATGCCCCCCACCAAAATCAGACTTGGTGGTTTTAAAAAAAAACATCAAGGCTGATCACACCTAAGCTTGAAGCAGCTATTGCTTTAAGTCTTTTGCGTGATATTTGCCAACAAATCGACCCTGGAGATCCTCCAGCTCGTAATAGCAATTGCCAATTTTACGTCGAACACGGGCTTTGATATAGGCAGGTCCCAATTTTGAGTTATAGCCAGCTTGAAAATTACTCTGTCGAAAATTTCTCCGGTAAATTTCCTGACCTACCCTATACGAAACTGCTCTTGAGCGTAAATTGTAATTGCGCTCATTTTTCTCATTTTGTTTTCGCATTACCTCGCATGCTTTGCTTCGTATAAGTTCGAGAGAATCTTCCTTGCTATAAACAGCTGCTTTATCTTCTAGCAATTTTAAGTGTCTCAACAATTTGTAGGTTGAACCCGAATTTAAAAATTGTTGACCGAACACCATATAATATGGAGTAGCACCAATTCCGGAATGAACTGCTGACCTTAAAGCACAACTTATACTGCTCAAATGCTCGTCCCAGTCTTTTTGATCTGGCCTTATATAAGAACGAATAGCAGCAATAATTGAGCGATTTACACGCTCGGACGCATTAGCCTGTGGCGAATATACAGCTGTCAATGTATGAACAACTTGATTGTCCCGAAGCAACTTTTGAAAAGCTTCAGCCTTAAATTGCGAACCATTGTCTGAAACAACTGTCTCTGGAACTCCAAATGTGTGGAAAAGCTCCTGTTGCATATATTTCACGACAACATCTGCAGTCAGTTTTTTCACTGCTTTAAGAAAAACAAACTTGGTGTAGTGGTCCATAACAATAAAAATACCAATATTTCCACTACGAGAACGAGGATACGGGCCTAAGAAATCAATATACAACCTTTGAAAGAATCTCTGTGATTCTGGGGACTTTCCAATTGGCGGACGCTGAACTGTATTTGGCGCTTTAGTCGTTTTACATGTTTCGCAAGAATTTATGTAACATTTCACATCGTTGACTAAGCCTGGCCAATAATAATACCTTCGTATCCTTTCCAAAGTTTTATGCACTCCACCGTGAGAAGCTAACGGGTGGTCATGTGCGTTTTTCAAAACCTCTGAAACTAATTCCTTAGGAATCCATAACTTCCAACCAAAAGAATCATGCAACTGGTCTCCCGTTGCATGGTCTGATCTACGGTACACAAAATTTTCAACCACTTTAACATCGGGTAATTTGTCTGCATTTGCCTTAACGCGTTCCATGAGCTCAGTATAGTCATCGGACTTAAAAAATTTAGATTCCAAGTCGACTAACAAACCATTACTGGACTCTATCGCAGCTATTTCGTCATCGTGCACCCTAGACAAAGCATCTGGAACAATATTCAATCTACCGCTTCGATGTTCAATTTTAAATCTAAAACCTTGAAGTTTTAGTGCCCATCGAGCAAGACGAGAATGTAAGTCTTGTTGTGACATGAGCCACTTTAAGGACGCATGATCGGTTATCACCGTGAATTCGTGACCTTCAACATAAGCACGAAAACGCTTAATGCATACTAAAGCTGCTAAACATTCTTGCTCAGTTACGGTATAATTTTTTTGAGCCTTGTTAAGTTTTTTCGAAACAAAAGCTATGGGATATTCATCTCCATCTTCAGTCTTTTGAACCAAGACACCTCCGACTCCAGTTTTGCTAGCGTCACAGTGTATAAAGAAGGGCTTGCTGAAATCGGGACTGCGTAGCACTGGTGCTAAGCAAAGCAACTGCTTTAATTTTACAAATGCTTGTTCACCCTCTGGAGTCATAATAAATTTCTGTCTGGGCTTTAACAGATCTGTAAGTGGAGCAGATATTGCGGCAAAATTGCTAATAAACTTGCGGTACCATCCAACCATTCCCAAGAAACTCCTTAGAGCTTTGAGTGTACGAGGAATTGGAAAATCTGTCATTGCTGAAATTTTTTCTGGGTCTGTACGAATGACACCTTCACCTATAATATGTCCTAAATATTTAACCGAGCGCATGCAAAATTTGCTCTTTTCTACGTTTAGTGTTAAACCAGCAGATTTGATTCGCTCAGCAACTTGAGTCAAAACCTTTAAGTGCGACTCAAAACTATTCGACACAATTAACAAGTCGTCCAAATAAACAAATACCTCATTTCTGAGCGATGGTGGAATAACTTTATCCATTAGACGAGTCATTGTTGCGGCAGCATTGGTCAAACCAAATGGCATGACTTTATACTGGTAAAGCGGCCTACCCGGTATCGTAAATGCTGTTTTATCTCGCGACGAAACATCTAACGGAATTTGCCAGTAGGCATCTTTCAAATCTAGACTTGATATAAACATTGCTTTTGGCAAACGGCTTAAAATGCCATCAATTTGTGGAAGCGGATACGCGTCTTTTCGCGATACAGCATTGACTTTTCTGCTATCCAAACAAATACGAAATTTTCCTGGCTTTTGTACCAACACAACTGGCGAAGACCAAGCACTGTCTGACTCTTCTATAACTCCTTGCTCAAGCATGCGATCAATCTCCGCATATAGAAGTTTTTCTTGTGCCGGAGAAATAGGAAAATGACGCTGTTTAATTGGTTTTGCATCACCAACGTCAATTATGTGCGATATGAGCGAAGTCTTGCCAAGACCAGAAACTACAAATGAAGGAAATTTGTCAATTACTGCCTGAAGGCTTTCCTTTTGTAAACCCAATAAGTTGTGAGAATCTGATGACAGTTCGGAAATTTCTCTGTCCGGTGGCAAAAGATTGAACGTTGTCCAAAAATCGATTCCAAGGTACAGATCCTGACTTAAGGAAGGAATAATATGCAACTCTATATCTTTCGTCTCGTTTTTGTATTTTATTGCAGTTTTAAACCGACCTACAATTTCTTGTTTTTTTCCATCTGCGGTACAAGCTGAACTTATAATTCTTTTGAAATTGAATCTACTTCGTATTAATTGTTCTGCCAATCGACCACCTACACAACTAATAGCTGCGCCAGTGTCCATTAATCCAAGCACAATTCTATCCAGCATACGAACTTCAGCATACGGGCGCTTATCATTATTTTTATAGCGAATGGCATTTATTGTTTTTGCAGATTGCCAATACGCGCGCATGCGTTTTGCATTTCTAGAAACTGATTTTCTTCTACCTAAGTTTTTAAAATTAAATATATCTACAAAGTTTTTGTACTTTTGCGGCCAATGCAAAAGTGACAACGTAGAACTAGCTGTACTTGTGTTTTCATCGGTAATTATTCGGCATTCGTTAATTTGCTGCTCTGAACACACGGGTGCTGCCGAGCCGGTGCGTTCGACCTCGAGTTTTTTGAGCATTTGGTGCAAGTTGGTTTATATGTATTCTTAGCACCACAACCATAACAAAAAACTCTACGCTTAGCTTCACAATCTTGATATCGATGCCCCTCTTTACGACAATTCCAACAAACTAGAGCCATTGCGCCAATTTCGCCTTCGCTCTCCATGTCAGAAAATTCTGCGGCATCCTCAGTTTCACTATCCTCTACCAGCTCAGAAACTTGCTTTCTAAAAGGAACTGTTTTTTGATAGCTATAATCTCGCTTTACGTCTTTTAAAAACGCTTCGCGACGGCGACAAATTTCACGCAGGCGGCTAACCGAATTTATTTGAATGTTTAATAATTCGTGCCTTATTTCGGGCCTTAAGTTTCGACGTAGTGTTTCGACAACAATCTCTTCAGACATAGGACTTTCTAAACTATCCATTAGCTGAACTATTGCGTCATAAAATGAATCGAAATTTTCTTTTTCGCGCTGCTTTCGATCCCTGATAGCCTCTCGAATGTCTACATCTGTACGCGAATCTCGATATTGTTTTCGAAGTGCGTTACAAAGTAAGTCCCACCTTGCCAAAGGAGTAGTTCGATGGAACCGCCAATAAAATTCTCGTGCCTTTCCTTCAAAAAGCAAACTGGCATTAGAACAAAGAAGTGCAAAATTTCCCTCTAGAGTTTGGTGTGTCATTGCCTCAGCTCTATATATAAAATTATCGACACTAATGCCCTCCGGATTTCCATTGAAGCGTAACTTCCAACTATTCAGAATATGACCAACTTTATCTGGACGATACGTTAAATCGCTGTGCGAAGTTGGTGTTCCAGTAGGAAATACCACAGACATTGACTCGCGCTGACTGCGTTGCGCCTCTTGCTCATTATTATTTCTACGAGTATTTTGAGCCTGGTTTTGAGTCTGAGCCACCAAAGAACTCATCTGTTCTGCTATGTTGGTCCGTATCGACTGAGCTATTTGAGCTGACAATTGGCTAAAAAGGTCATTTTGCATGGCTCGAACTGCCTGAGCCACTATAGGAACGATAGAATTTTCTTGGGAATTCGTGCTATTCCGTTGTTCTGCTGATCTACTAGTACCCGGTATGTCGTCTTGAGTTGCATACGTTTCGTGTAATCTGACTTGTTGCCTGGTATTCTGCGCTATTGTGTCTGGTTGGCTTTTGAAACAAACAGCTACACAGCATGGGCAAGTATTTGATGTGCGTGCATGAGCCATAATGCACTTTTTATGAAATTCATGGCCACAAGTAGTCGTGTAGCCAGTCGTTGCTGCTATGCTCTTTTTACATATATGACACTGTGTTGTAGATTGGGCATTTGTGCCTGCCTCCTCATCCGAATGATCGACACCCATGATAAACAACAGAACTTATTAAGAGCAAAAAAAAATAACAGAAATACAAAACAGCTGATCTAAGCAATTTCAAGGGCAAGGTCAATAACCCTTGGAGCCGCTATTCGCTAATCTCTTCAACTGCTCTCTGCATGCGAACGAAACTGCAAACACAACCTGAGCGAAATGAGTGTAATTCTAAACAAATAATAATTATGCTAAGACCTAAAGTAAAACGTGTAAACAATAAAAACTATTGCGGTACTTGTAAATCAACAAATAAATATCAAGAAGAACAAAAAGCATAAACATAAATTGATCTTTTGCTTAGTCAATGCTCCCTGCATGAATCCCTTATCAGCAAATTAGCAGATTTGTTTACGTTTGCGTCGAAAAGAAAAAGTAAAATATTACGTTTGATGCTGGCGGCGACAAGTCATTTACAATCGTCCACAGCTGATCCAATAGAATCAATTGCGGTAGACCTGTCCGTTTTTTTCTTTCTTATTTTTCGCGCAACAACAACAACATGAGTAAGCTGTGGCCAAATGGTGATAACATTTATCAACTCAATTTGTCATCCAAAGCAACTTACATATTGAAATATTTTTTTTTTTTTTTTTTTTAAAAGGAAAAGATTTGGTTTTTGATTTATTAAATAATTTAAATGTGGTCAGAGGAATTCTTATAAAAGAAAATCACACTGCAAAATCCTATGCATTTAAACTACAAATAAAGTTTACCCATAGATTTGTTTTGAGTCTTTTCTTTCGCCTTTCAGCCGTGGTCAGTTGATTCGTTACTAATAACAAAGTCATCTGCATATCCTATGCGTCTTGAATAGCAAAATTAAAACTCAAAGGAAATTTGTTCAAATAGAAAAGCTTTCTGAATTACTTTCTCCTACTTTCAGCCGTGGTCAGGTATTCAACTACTGAAAATTTAAATACCTGCATATCCTATGCGTCTAAATGAGGGATCAAATAACTCATAGGAAGAATAAATTTTAGCGGCAACACCAACCGTGGTTGAAAAGACAGAAGATAGGTAGCTGAACTACAAAGTGTCTCCAACCCAATGTTACTGTTATAATTTAGGAAAATTGAAAATGAAAATAAAGAAAAGAACATTGTGTGTGTGTGAGCCTCTATGAGATTATGGGCTTCTTTATCTGAATGTGAGTTCTAGAGAAAGTTATTATAAAGGTCTAGATAAAGTATGCCCCACACGTTGGACGCCATTTTAAATAATATTATTGTCTATTATAATTCATAACTGTAACGGGTTACGTATATAATCCAGGCTAGATGGTGGGCATAGGTGAGAGCGCACGCGAAATTTTTCCGGCTCTGGCTCGTCGGCAAGTGGGGTGGTGATCTTGCTTCTCGCCTATGGTTTGCCTATACATATATATTTCTTTAAAAAAAAGATGCGTGCAGACAAGCGGAAAAGTTGCGGTAATACACACACAGGATAGTAAGAGGGAAAACAAACATAAAACGAAAATTGCGACCCTCAGGTGTTAATGAGGTGAACTGCGACCCTCAGGTGTTATTGAGGTGAACTGCCCTCCCTACCATGGTCATTCCTTACCAAAAAAATAAGGACTAACTATTAGAATGACCCCTAAAATTTCCGGGAGACCTACAGGGGCGGCATGACTAGCATTGATCAAAAGAAGTTAAGTTAAAACATTATAAAATATAATTTATTCACAAAAAAAAACGAACGTGGAAAAATAAGAAGTGCATGACAACCAATTATAAATAACAATTAAATAGGTATAATATAAATGAAATTAAATGTGTATGTATATGAATGCTTAAAATATATAGATAAAAGGTAATAAAAAAAATGAATATGAAAAATAAATAGAATTCAAAAATGATTTATAAAGGTATAACCAAAATGAAAAATATACATTCTTATGAATTATCAAATTAAAAAAAAACTTTCGGCATGGAAACAAAATGGCAGTAGAAAAATGATGCAAGAAAAATGAATTGAATCAGTTAAGCTTAGTAATGAAACTATATGTTCTGAGTTTTGCCTCTTTAGTTGAGTTTTTTTTTTTTTTTTTTTGTTACGTGATTCGCAAAAAAAAATAATAACAAAAAAAATAATTTGCAAAAAAAAATAACTTACTTGGCGTTATCCATCGCTGAAAGTACTTTCCCGATGAGACCGCTGCTGAAAAGGAAAATCTTAGATGATGGGAATACAATCCAACCATCTGTGTGGACACAAAACAGAATTTCGTTTCTTTTTCTTTTGCTGTACTCAAAAAAAACTCACTCGAAAGAAAACACTCAACAAAACATACAAAAAAAACGGTACTCCTCTTCCTCTTCAATATTCGAAGATACGGCCTCTCTTCGGATTTCGAGAACCAAGATAAACTAATAATTAAAATTCGGCCATGTGTTTCCCTATGCCTTCACAAAGTAAAATTAATGACATCGAACAATGTAATATAAATGGTCTGAACCAAGATTAACAGTAAAAAAAAACTGTATAACTAAATAGAACTTTAAATATAAATATAATGAAAATTTAACCTATGGAGAAGTTGATTCTGGCTGGCCATTATATCGTTTTTTTCCAACAACCAAAAATTTAGCCACTACTGCCTTTTCCCTTTGCTCAGAGCCACACGTCTTAGCTGCACTCAACCTTTTTATTTAAACCAAACACAACAATGAAGCCGACGCGGGTAAAATTTAGCAGCGCGGATACGACGGCGCTGGTAGCTGCTTCGCGTACGATAGAAGACTGAGTTGCACTCAGGTGGGTCGGACGATCGCCTGCGGTTGTTCTGCTGCGTCGAACTTAGGGTCCAAAACTTGAGTGATTTCGTCTTTTAGAATTTTAATGCTGCTGGCGGCTGCTGTTTATTGCATATGCCAATGCAATGGACTGCTCTTCGGTTTCAGAAACCCTCCAATACGATCAAGGGCTGGCATCCGGCGAAAATAGCTCAATATTATCACTGGCCTTTGTGTGGGCCTTTGTTTTATTTTTTATTTTTTTTATATAAAACCAATCTGGATACGCTTTTTTAGCGACTTTAAAATTTTTCTTCGACTCGGATATAAAAAAACTTTGAACTGCAATTTGCACACGTCTGCTCTCGGCCAAGTATCACCAGAAAAAGAAAGCATCTGACGCCTTGGACCAGGCGGGAACCTTTTTACAGAGGCGGTAGGTCAGCGAGGTGAAAGTAGCCATTTTCGGCGAAAGTGACACTTGCACCTGTTAAGCCAGGAGTTACCCTATTGACCTGCTTGCGCCTTTCCCTCATACGACCAAGAGGTGGCGCTAAGAAAAATTACGATATTCGCCTATTAAACTGATTTAACAAAACAGTTGCTGCTGCAAGCGTTACAGTATGTATATCAAGCACTTTTGACGTCACACAGATAAGATATTATTTTAGGCCTTTCGTTTTTATTTATATGGGCAGTTAGTCGTTCTGGCCGCTCGTGCCGTTGATAAGCGGTGCAGCTGAGTATCAACCCCGTATCGCCCAAAGCCCAAAACAGCTTGTTAAACAATTTTATTGACCACTTGTAAACGGGTATTGTGTGATAAGCGCGAAGACATTGAGACACGTTCCACACGCGCCTATCCCTACAAAGTAGTTACTACAAAGTCTCTCTTGCCCATGCCGATCGCTTAAAATTATACACTTCAATAACAGTTACATTCTGTGCAGGCCATTGTGCCGATAAGGTAATGATCACTAAAATTGAATTACAGTAGCAACGCTGATCTGTGGCCTTGACACAGTTGTTCGCTGGGAGGCAGGTGGCGATGATTATTATGCAATGGAAACACGCGAGCAGATTCCAGAAGCAGACGCTGATAATATGAGTTAATACTCCAGTTGTAAACACATGTGTGTGAGGGACTCACTAGTGAGCTCATTGGGCTACTGAATTGTCCATCAAGGGTAATGATTGAGTGTTAATTTTCAGAGCTTTACTAATGACATTGCTAAGTTAGTAATAAGCAGTAAACAAAAGCAAGGGCTAAGCTTCGGGTGAGATACTATGTATGTTGTAACTCATTTTTAATTTGTAAACAATATTTTTAATTACGCAGTTCATTACAACGATAACACTTATACTTATAGACTCTAAGATATCATTGTTATTGATTAAAGGTTTTAAACCGTATTGAAATCTAGCGGATACTGGACTTAAATGTACATTGTAGAACAGTTAAGAAGTCGTGGTGAAATATCTTTTTGTAGAATTGAATTTGTAGTCTAGTGTTTAGTGTACTCGCAGTGTTAGAAGCAAATCATTCTAACCGGTCCAACATACCTAAGTGTTCTTAAGATAGTTCATTGCCAATATCTACATTATGGGTTTTAGTAATTTGTGTTGGGTGGATTGGAAATCCACAATTACCTTCAAGAATGATGTTTAGCATGGTTCAAACATTATCTTGCAAGATTGTAGTAGAACCGATATTATCGTAAAAAAGAAAGCAATAATATTTTAAGCCAAAGAACTATCGATTATGTATAAATATATAATTGCAAATATTATAGGAAAGTTTGGAGGAGGACCCCTAAGTTACTTATTCGCACATCAAAGCACATTAAAAAATAGAACCTCTAATAGGGAATAATTCTAAATATTAGCATTAGCATTAGCAGTTTGGGTTATCCATTAGTGAATTTATTTTTAGCTTCCTCTGCTTTCATCTGAGACATACTCAATTTTCATAAAAAATTGCAATTTGGCACACTGAACCAATTTGAAAGTTAATATTTAAAAAAATTGCAAATCGAATAATTCGATTCATGTATGTAATTTGATGAATGGTAGACCAAAAAAAAGCCCAAGCCTGTTACCAAAATCACATTAAATAAATAAAAATTTGTTTTTGAATTTATTTAAGGTACAACAGATTCCTTGCATTCCTCTTGATAATATATTTTTATTCAGACATGCATATAACATATCATTAGGCCTTTCAAAATATTTTTAAAGATTTGTAATCATATAATTGGCTTAAATCTTTATGTGATTTGTAAATTCGCAATCAGTCTTACTCAGAGCGGCTAAGATGAAGTTCGAATAACAAAATAGTGACCCCGACTGAGCCGAAACCTAATGACGAGGCATCCTTCAACAGCGATACTCATCTCTGGCCCTACACCTGCAGCTGCTACTAAAGTTAAATTAAATTGTAAGTTTAGTTTTAATGTCGCTTTTGTCTCTATACTCCTTTAATTACTTTGCAAGTGACATTTTATTTTCTATTTTAATCGAACTCATACAAACAGCATATGATTAGGGACATACACATGTTCAACTATAGCTTGAAGCCTCCACAAATTCATTATAAATCATAAAAATGTCCTCATTGTAAATCAAACTGCAACAAAATAGCAACGGCATTTGGCCTTATAAATTCAATGAGGCAATCAATATACGTTATTGGTACAACATGGCACGATATCAATTGGCATTTCTGCGCAATGTTTGTCAATTGTACAATGTACACATACATACATACATATACTTGTATGTATGTACTCGTATTTATCTTTGGTGTTTAACAATTATTCACGTTGGCAAAAGCACATAAATATAGCGACACTTGTAAAAGTGACAACAAACGTTGAGGTGTGAAAATATTTGGACAACACACACAAATACAGCAATCAGACCAATTATTGGGCTGATACAGAAAGTGTCAATGAATTGGTGAAATATTTAGAAATAATCAAAATAAATTAGCAATAAATTAGATTGCTGGCCAAGAGAAAGAGAAAAAGCGCTTCTGACGAGCCGCCTTGCTGTGACGTACAAGATCATTAGCACCCATCAATTGGCATCACAAATGGCTAAACTATAGACCCTAAAAACCGTCGCTGACGTCAAAACCTCGTCTTTTCGTTTATAACTATATTGGTGGCCGATTATTCAGGTGTGAATAAAATAAATGATCAGAGTGTGACTGCGACTTGATAAAAACAAACAAAAACAACTAAATGTAGTTTTTATTGCCAGCTACTTGACATGGCTTAGCTCTGCTTGGAGCTTTCGACGACGATTGTACCGATATATAATGCCGGTTTTCAATTTCATTACGATCATTTGGCCCACAAAGTCGACCAAAAAACAAAAAAAAAAGTCAAACTACTGTGGCAATATTTGTGGCCGCGTGGCATCAACCATATGTGTTTGGACTCGTGATACGATTTTCAAGTTTGGCTTGTATTTGGTTGGTCTAGTCCTCTCCATCTCAGTCTGTTTCGAATTTGTAATTCGAGAAGTTTTTACGAGTCATTGATCTTGCTCGAGGTTGAACTTTGGAATTTTAAATTAACCAGCGGCTTTGGTTAACTTGGCTTGCAGCTATTTTTCATTTGTTTTGACTGCAAATTTCGTATTGATGTTGGACTATTAATGAGTGCGTGTGTGCGTAATGGAAAATCACCGATCATGTTTGTAATGCTCAAGTAATATGGCTAACCGTTATTTGGCCAATAGATAGAGCAATTGGTTGGTCATAAGACTCCTCAGTGGAACATGAAATTTCGTTTGTCATGAAAAAGTTTAACAAATTTGGAAGAAGGCAAATAACAACATTCAAATTTATGTAAAGACGAGATGGAAAAATATAAATTAAAATAATATTAAGTTTCATTTGTCATGAAGAAGTTTTTACACATTTTGAAGAAACCAAATAACAAAGTTCAAATTTAAGTAAAAAAAATAGAAAAATAGAAATTAAAATAATAAATAAAATATAATAAGTTCCTTTTATTGTCATGAAAACTTGTATTTTGAACAAGGCAAATAACAACTTTTAAACTAAAGTATAGACGAGATGGAAAAAAAGAAATTAAAATAATAACTAACTCTAAAAATGTATTATAAATACAATATAAACATAAGCCTAGTATAACACCCAAGATGAAGGAACTGCATAAACTCTCCACAAAAAGATCTCCCAAAAAATCTATTCCTATCATAATTATTTATTTTAGTCATAAAAAACTAAAAATATTTTACAACTACACCAATATTCTCATTCTAAACAAAACAAAGCCTCAGACGGTCAAAGTTCATAACACTTGAGTTTAACATTTTCTGATTGGTATAACATGCGCCACATGAGTGTTCTGGCATTAGGCCTATATAGTATAATTTAATTTCGCTAATATCTAACAACATTATATGAGCAGCAGTGAAAAGAGCAAGATAAGAAATAGTTTAAGAGCTACGCAATACTTTCACAACAGAAGTAGCCGAGACAGTTCGGCATTCAGGTTGAACGATTAGACAAATGGGACGTTATCTTCGTAAGATTTATTCAAGATTATGCTGAAATCATCAACTACATTTATTATCCTGTTTGCAGTAGTTGAACTTGATTCTTTACATAGAGTACGAGTACGAAATGGGTCTTGCGCATTTTAGAAACTGACGCCATTGGCACACATATAAAATATTTATAAATGCCTGAATTCTGTGCAAATATTTGTACAACAACTCGTGAGTAACTAACATAAATATTTTAAATGGCTCATTTTATCTACAATTAGGTACAAATAAAAACTGCTAGAAAGCTAAACGTGTTTACAGATAAGGAACATAAACAGAGGTATAACATTTTATAGAGCATGCTATTAGATGGCATTGTTTTATAATGTTCTATAAATATAAACAAACAACGAGGAAAACTTCGAAGAAAAACTATTCCAAAAATTCCACAAGACTGTACTTGTTCAGAAATTGCAGTCTGCAGAATCAAGTAATCACATCAACTCGAGAGACAGTAGAAGATTTTGTCAAACCGACTAGCATGTCAGCTCTTTCCGTCAACTAATTCAGTTGAACAATTCAGCTGCTATATATTTTTTAAAATCGAAATAAAACTTTAACTACAAATGATATTAAATTCTGAAGACCCTTTTAAATGTAAATTAAAATTCATTTAAAGCTTTAATGTTCCTTGTAGTTATCTGTTACATCACATATAAACACGAAATAATCGGCATAAATAAATTGACGCTAGAGATAGCAATAATTCTTAACTAGAGAGGAGATTTTCGTCGACAACAAGTTCGTAAAAGAAAAAGTAGCTGAAATTTTAAATTCCCAATTTCAAATCGCACTGATTTCGCCCATTCACCAGCAAATTGAGATTTCTATCTAGAAATGTTAACGTAACTGCAAATTATCAAAACTACAGCAAACCGTAAAGATTTAAAAACAATTTGCACAATAAACTGATACGCTGT